CCATATCAGGACTTATTTTCGCAGATAGCCTAGTCACTCGGAAGAAAATCGGGTAAAGACGCGGAAATATCCCAGGTATGGCAGTAAAAAAATCTGCAACATCCAAATCAAAAAAACTTAAAAGCTCAAAGAAGTCGAACGATCACTATTATCATTACTATCATTGTTGTGAAAAATGAGCATGAGGGCAGGGGGAAGGAAAAAAGGACGTGAAAAGCTTACAAATCGCACAAAGACGGCAAAAGCACGTGTAACGTACCTTGAATTTGTGAATTGTCTTTCGATAGGAACGCCAGATTGTTTGGAAACATTTGACAAAGGCTGGCCGCAACTACCTGTCGGACAATAAAATGAGCAAGTAATTAACTCCGGTCCCCCAAAATATAACTGAAATGGTACGAGTGGAACAATTTGCACACGGCGATGTCTCAAGAATGCCGTATACACATTTGGACACCGATATGACAGAAGAGGAGATAGAAAAAGGCGCCTGAGAAAGACTAATCAAGCGCTGTGGCGAACATGGTAGTAATTACCGCCCGATCCAACTTTCCCCCTTCTACGTACCGGCCGACATGACACACATATTACATGACAAGGACGACATTAAGGAAGGATAACACTGTGGAGACACATTGGTCATTCCGGCGGTGCATTTTAATAGTATACTTGACTAATGCATTCGAAAGCGTATGAGAGTTACGTGTTAAAGTGTCTAGCTGCACTGGCCTAAAAAGCGATGAAGAACTACTCTGCTCACTGTCGGGGCTAGCTTTCAAAAACCTGAAATTCATGTTGACGTCCAGCCACCTGTCTTGTTTACTCCTACAGGTGAGTGTAGTTCGCGCAAAAAGCCCATTTACTTAGGCTATTTATGTAGAAGTACCAGAACTGGCGGACAGTGATCAAGTCAGAGGCCGCAGTCTCCTCACAGCTTGAAGGACCGCGAGAACCGACAGGGGATTAAGGCTGTATGAAGCAGAGGCGCCTACTAATGTGATAGGAAGTGCAGGAAGTAGACATATAACATTTGGTTGAGTGAAATTCAGAATCCAGGGGCCCCATCAACACACCAATGGGCTGAGAAGGGCGGATTTTCGAAATGACCTATCGTCAAAATCCGATAGCAGAGTGGCATTTAGGGAAAGCAAGTATTTTTACATTAAAATTAGCTGCGGTCGTGTGGCGCAGAGAACACAGACAAACAAGCAGTTCAGGCACGCAAAAAGTAGCCAGGTCAAAATTGCCGGGGAGCGGAGCGGAGCAGAAAAGCAATGACGGACGGGCAGGAAAGAAGCCGCAGGACCTCGATGAGTTGCACCCTCTCCACGATACGTAGTCCTACTGGTAGTCGGACCCGCGCAAAAGCATGCTCCGATTAATTCCAACATGCTGTATCGATTCCACACATGCTACAAAAATCGGACACAGAAGTGGCCGAGAATGATTCGACAAGTATTCGGTCTCTCTAATTTTTGAGCATACCAATGACATTCCCACGGCCTAAATACCCACTAATAGAATCTGTTAGCTGGATAAGCACTCGCAAGTCTCAATTATCAGCCTTCAAGATAAATCTTAACTCAATATGGGCTCCAAGTTTACTAAATAAATCATAGATTATATGAGGTAAGGGTGTCATCAATGGGCTGGGTTTCTGTCCTCCATTACTCACAGACGGTGGTTTACAGTATCGCTCTGCTTTCGGCATATCGGCGTTTCTTTGATGTTACTAAAGGTTATTTTGTCTCCCCCTCTTGTGCGGCTATATAGTATACAGCTTTTCCTCTTTGTGCTACCTGCTAACGCTTGAGGCGCACCGTTTTGCCCAGTCACAACTGCTCAGTATCGATGGCTTTTCTAACAATCCCTCATCAAGACGAGTCACGAAATTTTTGGACGCTTCCAAAATCCGCCAAGCGAACTTTTCGTATACTTTATGCGATTTCGTTCGGTTGCGTCTTTGATGCTGCTCACCAACATGGCCTCCGCGCCTCTTCCGAAACATAGATGCTTTGAAAGAGTTCAAGATCAAATAATTAATTCCCGACACTCTATTTGAAGTCTACGCTCAGCAACGCCCATGCCGGCTCGAAGTTTACACAACAAGGCAGAGACAGAAACGCAAGAAAGTCCTTTAAGCACATAAAATAGTCAACAGGTAAAGCTTTGAGACTCTGGACTATTTGCCGGCGCAATTGTCGAGAGCACCCCAGAGGTTATTAAAACCGTACTTGCACACGCGGATTCTGCAGATCGTTTTTTATGGCGTGTTATCAACCCTTGAGACGTGTTGCCTAGAAAAATTGCCGGAGCCCTCACATGTCGACCCTGTAGGAGATGTCTCAACAATTTATTGGATGATATATACAAATGGTGACAGGCCCTCCAGTTTGGTCATCAGCAAATGACGACTGGAAAATTTACTATTGTAGACTTTCTATCAAAATAATCAAACCTGTCCTAAGGTCGTACATGCTGGGCTCGAAAAACAGAAAAAGCTTTGTGCTCTGCCTATATTCGAAGGTTTCTTAGTTGTCATGTGACGAGCTCGAATGCATTTTCGATGTGCAGAAAAGTTCGCCAAGTGGTCTATCTTGACACCTAGGCGGCCATAGCGTTAGAAATAACCGCCTCTTTGAAAACTTAACGTCGCATAGGTCGCCGCATAAAGTCATGGGAAAACCCATTTTGGAAGGACGATTTAAAAGAGCAATTTATTTCTGCTGTTAACATAGTCCTGATTGTTAGTGGGGACAGTTATTCCATAAGGCAGGATGAAGGCTGGGTACATTTTCTTCCAATAAAAACTAATCTATGTGGTGGTTCATCAGTCTTCCGTCGTAAGAGGATCTTCCATAAGGAGAGTTGCCTATCAACCTATATTTCCAGACTAAATTTAACAACCGAAAAAGCAGAGTTCGCGATGCGGAGTAGTTCCAGTTGGTCCTTTTTTGACAATAACAAATGCGTAATCTACTTAGCTCAGCCATAACTTTGGGTTAACCGATGGAGATGCAGATTCTGGTCTCTTCATTTAATTCCCGACATTCAATTCACCAAGGAGACAGAGAACAACAATCAGATCGCATTCCTTGACGTTCTGGTTCACCGCAAAGTTAACGGGAGCATGAAAACGACGGCCTACAGGAAGGCCACTAACACTCGGCAAGTCCTGTCCTACCACAGTAATCACCCGCTGTACCCGATCTCTCTACAAGAGAGTTGACACTCACTGCAGCGAACCGGCCGACAAGGTTGCCGAACTCCGCTATCTACGGCGGATGTTCACCTCCAACGGTTACCCCCGCAGCTTTATAGAACCCAGCGAACTGTCCAGATCAACCATAAAGTAAACGGCAAATCAACCGAAAGTCTGGCGAGCGCTGCCATATGTTGCGAACGTTTCCGGGGCAGATGCTCATATCTGGCAACCATTGGGTATCGGCATCGCCCACAAACCCCAAGCGACAATTATACGTCTGGTCATGAAATCAAAAACGCCTCTGCCACGAGGCGAAATAGTCAACGTCGTCTATCGGACCCCGGGTAGTTCCTGTGAAGTAAACTACGTTGGAAAGACCGGGAAAAAATTGCAGACCCGCACAGACGAGCACGCAAGAGTGGTACGAAGAATGGATCAGCTCTCGCTGGTGGCGGAACATTGCGCAGCTTCTGGCCAAGCCTTCGCTTTTCAAGACGACGAAGTCTTGAGCCAAGGGAGCGATCAAACGGTCAGGGAGACGCTCGAAACATGGCACCCCACAGCTACCTCGATCAACCGCTGCGTAACTTTGCCGGCTGCCTACCAGCCCCTACGGGTGAAGTTCAATAGGCAGGGCTACCGACGAGACTTCAGGCCAGAGACAGCAGTAACCAAACCCAGACCAAGCGGGAACACGGACCGGCAGAGACACACATCGGGAACAAACGAAACCAGGAGACAACCGGCGGCGAACGCAGACAGACGCGGGCAGTCGGTGAGGACGTACGACAGGGACAGGACCCCCGGGCCCGACGTCAACAGTGGCATGACAACCACCGTCAACACGATTACGGGCAGGTGTGAACAGGACAGCGAGGCGAGATACCGCGACAGTGATAGGAATCCCCAGCCCGACGTCAACACTGGCATGACAACCACCGTCCACGCGGTTACGGGCAGGTGTGAACGGGGCAGGAAGGCGAGATACGTGGAGGGCGGACAAAGTACAATGTAAACAGGAGTAATGGCCGTGGTCACCACGACGCCGCTCCATTCCCCACACCCGAGGAAGGATGAGGAAGTGCCAATGCCGCCATGATAACAATCGTCAGACCTTGTGATGCAGCGCGCTGGAAGTCAGTGACACGCCAGCACGAAGCAAAACCCTTAAATACTGTGACGTGCAGTACGCAACCCACCTCCGATGATGGAAGCTTGTCTGCTTTCGAAACGTCAGGCCAATGAAAACCATGGTTCCTGCGATCGCTTTACCTTCTCAGCCATGTCCGGGAACGCGCATTTTCGTTTCAATCAGCATTATATATATATATATATATATATATATATCTCAGTAAGGAGGGACGACAGAGAATGCGGGTAGATTGATACAGTACTGTTTCGGGCTTATTGTGCCTTCATTCAGCCAATCATAACCCTGACCACCAGCAGCTGGGACCAGAAACACAAACATGCGCACAGACGCACCTGACGCAGTTGATCCACCACTGGGGTCTACCAGATGGGTCATAAGCACTTCATCGAACCGAAGTTCATCAGTGCCTCACCACCTGCCATTCTCTGTCGCCAATGGATCGGTGTGCGCCCATTCCTGAGTGAATAAATACCCGATCTGCAGCGACAGAGGATGGCAGGTGGCGAGGCACTGATGAACTTCGGTTCGATGAAGTGCTTATGACCCATCTGGTAGACCCCAGTGGTGGACCAGCTGCGCCAGGTGCGTCTGAGCGCATGTTTGTGTTTCCGGTACCAGCTGCTGGTAGTCAGGGTTATGATTGGCTGAATGAAGGCAATCAAGCCCGAAACAGTGCTGTATCAATCTACCCCCAGACTCTGTCGTCTCCCCTCTGATATATATATATATATAGGCAGAATGGTATTACCGACAAAGACAAGAGAGACTGGAATGGCCATTTCTGACTTGTTAGCCGTCGTCAGCCAGCCATACCCAAGCCCGAAGTGTGGAACGCCCGAGCCTCGAACTCGCGACCTGTTGGCTTAGAAGCCCACGCCTCTACCCAACTGGCCACGAGCCCGTTGCCCTGTCGGTTTTCGATCGGGAATGTACAATGGTAGGGGGCGCTCACCGATCGGTCATACGGAACTCACTCGTTCCGTTCGGGCTTGGGTATGGCTGGCTGACGACGGCTAATAAGCCAGAAATGGCCATTCCAGTCTCCCTTGTCTTTGTCGGTAATACCATTCTGCCTATATATCATGCGCCGCTGTGCGGCTGCTGGTTGGGCTCGAGACAGAGCCCTTAAGGCACAACGGAAAGAGTGAGTTCCGTATGAACGATCGGTGAGCGCCCCCTACCATTGCATATTCCCGATCGAAAACCGACAGGGCAACGGGCTCGTGGCCTGGTGGGTAGAGGCGTGGACTTCTAAACCAACACGTCGCGAGGCATGTCAAGAAATACAAGTTGAAGTCAAAGGCGTTCTTTGGGAAAAGGAACTTCATTGCGTAAATTTTCGACGCCGAATGGTAGAGAGTACGCGCGGCCCAGGTGACTGAATAGAAGACGGAAAGGCGATCGCCGAAACCAGTTGTTCGTTTATCCGACGGGAGCTCATCGTCAAGGAATTAAAAAGTCTAAACAACTCATCGCATATTTAGTTCACCGCTACCGAGGATTGCCTCCAGCAGCGCTGCTGATTTGTTCATGCAGTGCTTGATAGGTGATTGGCAGATAGATATATCGATGAATCGATTCCTCAGGTGAGTGCCACGCTTCCTGTGGCGGGCGCGCAACTCGGTCTTCCGACTAACGCAATATTCTCACACACTCGAAGTCGACGCCGTGCTCTGGCGAGGAGGCGTGGGCGGCTATCAAGGAGAGTTTATCCTTCGTCTCACAGCCAACTCGTGCCCGTGCAATCGCGTGCGAACCTGTTTTCCGGTTTAACCAACATGATTGGCTTGACCACAATTCCAGTCCACTCGGTAAATGACCCCACATATCTGATTGATTGGGATGGGATCCTTAGGATACATTAGTTGCCGGCGGGTTGTTGCCTCAGGTCTGTGAGCAACGCTAATTCCAAATTCGCTCATCAGTCTAGCCAATTCTTCTGACACACCGGCTATGTATGGCACCGCGCGCCGGCATTCTGGTCTTGGCCGCCCCCTTTGGCTTTTTTTCCCGGATTGCTTGCCAGCATTTCTCGACTAAATTTCCAGGGTAGCCGGGGGCGGAGTAACATTACCGGCTTATAGGCCGTCGTCAGTCAGTCATGCCCCAGCCAGCGATATACATTTCAGTCTCCCTTGTCTTTGTTGGTAATGTTTTTCTGCATATATATATGCACATATATTATTACAGATGGGCGCTAACCGATCAGGTTACGGAACGTGCTCGTTCCATTGTGCCTTGGAACTCATACCAAAACCCTCGCAGTCGCACAGCAACTATTAGTAGACGCAAATGAGATTGTACCGACAAGGACAGGGAGACCGGAATAGCCATTTCTGGTTTATTAGTCGTAATAAGCCAGTCATACCCTACCCCGAAGCGCGAGGCTCGATTCCGCGACCTGTCAGTTAGAAGTCCAACGCCTTTAATCACTGAGCCACGGGCTCGTTGTTCTGTCGGTTACGATCGGTGGGCACGCCTCCACCACTGTATATATCCGATCACAACCTACGCGATAACGAACCCGTGACGCAGTGGTTAGAGGCATTAGACTTCGAACCAACAATAAGGCGTAATAAGGGAGGGCCGCGAATTCCTGGAGGCAGTGCACTCAGATGAGGCATGCATCAACCGGCATAACGATCTAGACGCCACATACAAAACCGTTAAGGAAAAATTCAAACTGGCTCAATCATTCTCGTGGAGATGACAACTTGCAACTAACACGCATTGGCACAGACTTTAGTTAATCATAGAATCCTTTGTCAGACTCAGTTTAGAAGTTAATGGTTTTTGCACACCCATAGTCTGAAGACGAGCTGGGGAAAGTCTCAAGAATTTACGCAGTAAATTTTACTATCTCCTAAAGAATTCCATCCTCTTAAATATATATATATATATATATATATATATATATATAAACAATTGAGCAGACGTGCACCCAGGCTAAACATGAATCCAGACATGAGCGAGCCCATGGCGGACACACACTCAGCCACCCCTCAACCGGGTTCCGACCAAGGCGCAGTCCTCACCACAGCCGGTCCATCTACTAGTCCGGCGGACGAGAAAACGGACAGTCGTTGCGGCGTAAACAAGATTGCCAGGCTTGGACGGCAGCTACGGTCAATGAAGGTACGAACGACGACCACCAACGTCGCAACGCCGGCTTCCGATGTAGATTGAGTACGTTCCGTCACCCTCCCTTCCCCCCCCCGCCCGCCACAGTTCATGTGTGCATGCGGCTGATGACCACTAAAGCTGACTCACCACCCCCTCATCCGGCGAAAAGACGCTCTAGGACTTCCCCCCCGCCCCATCCCCCCTGCCGCCCTGACTTCATATGTAAGAAAACCCGTTTTGATATGACTTGTTACCCACCTATAAATACTGTGAGGCGCGATACCACACTCGTCTCCGACGATGGAAGCTTGTATGCTTTTGAAACGTCAGGACAGTAAAACTATGGTTCCCGAGATCGCTTTTTCTTCTCATATATATATATATATATACTCAGGAATGGGCGCACACCAATCTACTGGCTTCCCGAAGCAAACAAGCTTCGTATGGGCGATAGGGGTCACGAACAGGCAACCGCCTACCAGGCCGAAGTCAGCCAAGTCATAATAGCAGCGAGGAGGGACGACAGAGGATGCGGGTAGATTGATACGGGCTTATTATGCCTTCATTCAGCCAATCATAACGCTGACAGCCAGCTGGGACCAGAGACATAAACATGCGTCCACACACCTAGCGCAGCTGGTTCACCACTAGGCTCAACCAGGTGGGTTATAAGCACTTCATCGAAGCGAAGCTCAGCATTGCCTCGCTACTTGCCATTCTGTCGCTGTAGATCGACCTCCGACGCCCCCTTCGTCCCCCTACCCAGCATTTTCCGGATTTTTGCCAAGCACTCAAGCGGTTAGATTACATTGAACGTCTACGCGGAATCCGCGAAAAATTTTCAATATATGTAGCGCACTTCGCACTTCCAGAGAAGTTTCAGCTTTGGAAGAGAATTTTACTATTCGGTAGGCATTGAATAACCCAGTGACTTGAACGCAGGGGCATTACTATTAACGAATTTGCAGTTCACGATTAAAAATAAAAAATGTCCATTGCCAGGTCCTCATGTACTTTGGTGGAGTGAAATGAGTTGAAGACACTGATAGTGGAGCTGTCAGACAAAAGCTGAAGACGTTCGTGCATTTTAGTAATTTCGCTTAAATTTCTCGGTAACACTTCTAGGATGCTGTTTAGGATTTTTAGGTGTTGGTCCTGGAGGACGGCCTTGGTGGTCAAGAATATCAGACGCAATTAACAAAATCGCGAATTCTGTATTCGAGTCAGTGGTTATAAACTAACTTTTCAGAAATTCTCGGTATAAGAGATTGCGCAACAAAGCTTGCTAAGGCAATAGAACAAATGGCATTCTCTAAGTCTGTATGCAAGAAAACCCTATACCACTTGTGAAAGAACAGCCAAATAGGTGGCTGGGAAGATTGAAGTAAGATGTTGTTAATTTAAAAAGGCCACGTTGAGCAAGAGCCCTTTCTGATCATCCAGAAAAAAAAAGGTTTCCATCAACCCGTGAAAATATCCTCACAAAAGAAACCAGAAGCTTTCGGCCATATGAACCTATAGAAAAACTGTAATTACCACCACATGAAGGGTTCAGCAAGCTTGTAATCTGTGACATCGAAAATTAAAGTTATCTGACCATTTCACTTTTTTCTGCGCCAACTACGACTCCAAAGACGGTGGCTCGAATTTATAGCAGACCTATACAATCGTAGCCTACTTTGACGCAAAATTTTAAAAAGTACCGAAGTAAAGATAAGGACAGAGCCACAGACTGTAGTTGTGGACGTTAAACAAGCTGGAGACAGTACACTAAGCTGAGCGTATGAAGAGGCACGTGTTTATGGACTCGGGCACGGATAAATCAGACCGCGTTGGAGGTATTTCAAGCTCTCAATACAACGTCTACCAATGCGACGCTGGCCAAATGAATGAAAAAAATTTGATTAAACAGGGGTCACTTACTGCGTTATAATGTGATCACTTGGGTACGAGAAAAGAAGGCAAGCACTCGTGCGAAAACAGGGTCAAGACGAGGCTACTTACTCTTCCCTATCAATTCTATCATGCAGATAGTTAGGGAAACACAGGCATCCATAAACCGTTGGATACAGTATCATTTCATATAAAGCCGCACTTAAAGTAGCATTTACGGCCACGTACGAAGTGAAAGCTGATAGTCCGTAGCGGACACACTAATTCTTCCGCTGGAGTTTCAGACCAGTAAAACCTGAGACACCGATCCTTAGGCGTAGGGTACGATTCCGAATTAAAAACTTTTGGGCATCGTTGCTCCCTCTAGTCGAGAGCTGACAAAGACCTGCAACTCAAAACGAACTTAAAGGACTGTTTAACATAAGCTTGCATATGCAAACCAAGTATGGAACTACTAACTGACTATGAAAACGCATTGGCTTAAAACGAACGAACAGAAACGCCGACATATGTGTCACATAAGCAACTTGAAAGGGGAGAAAAAGAGAAAAAAAATCAGACTGACGAATAAAACGCTTAAAAGTAGTGAAACCGGAGAGTAGACTATTTCTTACAAATTACAAAACGTAAGGCAGGAAAATGCCATAAGAGCAAACAGTTTCCGTCTATCTTAAACACTGATCCCAAAAATATATGCGAAATAGAATGGTTTTGTTGGCCGTTATTACGATTAAAGCGATTTCTGACGGCGGAATCCTACGGTTGATAAAATTTATACACTTTTCCGTTATTCGATTTAACGGCCGACCGCCCAGGCTCCCACATGAAATTAAGGATATTCTACAGTATGGTGTTCGTGGATCGTAGGGTAGCTCTGTCCTGAAGGTTATCTCAGGTTTTGATTTCATGCCGCGAGGACGTATTCGACTAACTTGTTTCCCCGCTAAATTCTCTGCGAAACATTGGCGTAATGTAGAGTCAGAAAACATATACCAATTCGAACTTCATTCTCTACCATATCTACGATGTGCTCCACAGCAATGTGGAAGCGGGGCCGCCGAGTTGTCCGTAAGTACGTTTAAATTGATAGCATATTTTCGCTACACCTATAGCACACTCTCTCTCTTTCTTCCTCTCCCACCTGGATCCGTTGTCAAGACCCAGTAAGTAAGACCGGATGCAGGAGATGACGCAGGGGCTTTTGTTAGGTGGAGCCGACCTAATCGACTCGTTCGCATGTCGCCCTAGCGAAGCGCTCGCACACCGACCTTACCATCTGCCAACACTGCGCGCACGCGTTAATATCGCGCCAGCCGCCGCAAAGATTGGAGGGATCCCAGCAACTCACATGAATCAGAAGCCCAGTCTACATTATATCAGCTTAGTCCCATGATCTTATTGGCCCAATTGCAGGGCGGTCTTGGTACTCTCGTTTCTATTCCTTATCACCAGATTGCGGCTTTTAGGACTGCGCTACTGCCTTCGTGCTCTTTCATCCTTACTGCTGAGATTTCATTTTGGATTCGACCGCAGGGAGCTGTGGAACGGGCCGCTAGTTAGGCGTTATGGCAGGATCATAACGGCTGGCACAGCAGAAGCTTGCAGCTAGCCGTGACAATACATTTCCTGAGCCACAGTCTACGCTAATCAGGATTTTACACACAGATGGACAAGTGAGGGTCGGCTTGGGTTTCATTACATTATAATATCATAGGGGCGACATCAAAAATAACCACTGCATACTGGATTCTGCTTCCCTCTGGGTTAAACCGATTCGAATGACCGCATAGATACCCCCAGTAGTCCGTGTTGGGTTTGTTAACAAATCTCGCATGAACTCGAAATTCACACTCATGTACGCTAATGCACAAAAGGTACTGGATGGGCTCCGAATCCATATCTGCGACCTTCACACTGACGTCATCTCAATAAAAGACGCATGGCTGTCCGAAAAGATTGGTGATCGGAAGGTGATAGATAATTTAGATAGATAAGTTTTATTAAAAACCCCTCGGGGTCCCATCAAAGCCAGTTAAAATAAATTTACATGCGAGTTTTAGACGAGGTAGGCCGAATCTTTACAAAATTCAATTCATAGTTTCTGAATTAGTAGTCCATTGAGAAGCATGATTAGTGAGGGGTGAAAAAAATCTCCATAAAAAAAGTTAAAAATGATTGGATTAATTTTACGGGAGAAAAAACCCTCAATAAAAATAATGACAGATAAGTGCGAGCAGGACTGGCCTGTGGGTGGCGGTATATAACGGATTGTTGTCGGTCATCGTCAGGGTAGCAATGAATGTCAGCCTTGAGGGGTGCGTATGCGGGTCAGACAGGACTGGCCTGCATGTGGTATTGTATACGGGATTCACAATTGAGATCGTCTGGGCCGGATTGATACGTCGCATGAGACTATTCGCGTCAAAGAGGCCAGACGAGAGGAACCAGATGCGATCGGCCACAGCACGCTTCCAGCTCAGCCGAGCAATGAGGAAGGGAGGTACGACCAAACTACTAGTAGACGGTGAATACTGGGGGTTCCGCCGTGAGCGTCGACAGACCGCATGAGGTCGGAATGCGGGAGATGACATCAAAAACCGCGAAAATTGTCGCTATGGGGGAGGAGTGATAGCAGTGGATTTATAAACCAATTCTAAACAGGGGTTTCTAATGATATAATTAAGAGTTACCACTTAATCTACCACTAAATCCCAGGAAGACCCTTCTCGAAGTCAAGAATCTGAGTGTTCGGGAATGAGACCGTTAACAGTGCCTTTATGCTTTCCGGTGTAAGATGTTTGCGTAATTTCGACTTGAATACCAGTAACTTAGGCGATAATCTAATTTCAGGCGGAAGATTATACCAAAGGAAGGCATATTTGGAAGCAAAGAAGAGGGAGCGCTTAGATGTAGTACAAAGAGGCGGCGGAATCACCATGCAGGAGTTGCGCGTGGCATAAGACCGATCTCTCGGAGTTTGAGTGTCGATGAGCGGAAGACTAGAGCTAGAGTTGATGCGAAAAAGGGAAGCAAAGGCCAGCTTCGAGTCTTCTAACCCACAAAAACTTAATGTTCGCCAGCTGTCATCTCTGAGTATAGGAAATACTGGACGAAGATTGAGAGAACAGTTTCCAGGTGAAAACCCTCTGAACATTTTCGATTTTATTACGGTCGCACGCGTTCATTAAACCGAAGAACGGACAGCAATATTCGAGGACTGGAAGAACAAACATTTGATAAAGTCTTAGCTTCATTTCCGGAAGGAAAAAATTATGCGATATGAATCCACATATCTGCGCGGCTTTGGCAGAGATTCTATCTGCACGAGGTGATAAAGCAAGTTTATTTGTATAACTTAGACCTAGGTCCTTTAAGGTGAGGCATTCTGAGAGTGGGTTATTCTGAAAAATTATGGGACCAGGAAGTTTGGTAGGACCAAAAGACATGAAACTACACTTGCATGATGAAAACTCCATCTGCCATGTCGAACCCCATCTGCTTAAACGTAGTAAATCGGCATTAATGTTTTCAACACAAACGTTTGTGGTGTCCTTAGAGTATGAGTAAACACACTTGAGGTCATCGGCATAAGTAAAAGTTTGCGAATTTCCGAGTTCAGTCGAAATATCATTGATGTACAGAAGGAAGAGTAGCGGACCCAGGACCGTGCCTTGAAGTACGCCACTCGTGATCGAGTGGGGTGTCGAGTAGGTATTACCGACCATGACTTTCTGATATCGATTGGACAGATAGGACCTGATGAAGTCGAGTAGAGGCGGCCGGATGCCGAGAGCTTCCAATTTTACTAAAAGACGTCTATGGGGCACCTTGTCAAAGGCTTTGCTAAGATCAAAGTAAATAACTACCAGTGATTGCCGCTCATTACGAAGAGAAGTGATTAGATTAAGAAAAGCCAAGTGGCATGTTTCGCAGGATCGTTCAGGTAAAAATCCATGCTGACTAGAGTTCAGAAGCCGATTAACTACAGAGGACTCAAGAATCTCATTGAAAATAATCCTTTCAAGAAGTCTTGCTAGAGACGGCGTTTTGTGCACGCCCCGATAGTTATTGACATTGGACCGAGATCCTGACTTGAAGACGGGAATGATAATTGACGTTTTCCATGTTTCAGGAAAGAATCCTTTTGAAATATAAACAGAGAATAAATGACTAAGCAATATGAGAAGATCGGACGCTTGTTTAATAATCGTATTCGGAATCCCGTCCGTTCCTGAGCAGTGTGAGTATTTCAAACGGCTTATGTGTTTCTTAATGAGATCTGAGGAGACATCAATTGTACTAAGTGTCCTATCTGAAAGTGATCGAAAGAAAGGGACCGGATCGGACTCGGTAGCAAGGTGTTTTGCAAAGAAAGCACTAAACAACTCCGCTTTGTCAGTGTCATCGGTGAGGAAGACTTTGTTATCATTTAACATGGGTGGAAGTTCATGACCACGCCTAGAGGAGGACCGATGACGGAAGATGTTAGCAACGGATTTGCCAGGGTTCGGACCACTGAGAGCAATTGATTCTCTTTGCCTGTCGCGCGCTTGGCGCACCCTTGAGGCCATCTCAAATATCTCTGTGATTCTAAGATGAACTGATAAGGAACTAGTGGATGGGTCACGCAGCTGTCACCTCAACTTTTTAGTCTGTTCTGAAGAAAATGAGGAACAGGGGAATCTGAAGAATTAGGCTTGAGATATCTACGCGGCACAAACTCTAGAATGTCCTTGGAAACATTGGACATGACATCACGAAGAATGGTTGCATCGCTACAGGAGAGGAAGCCACACCAATCCAAAGATCTAATATAGTTATTTATTAAGTCGTTATCTACGCAGTCATAGTTCATGTAAGTCCGAAGGACGTTTGTCTTTTTGGAAAAGGCAAGCGGTAAGCAACAATGAATTAATACGTGGTCACTGTCAAAGAGGTCCTTTTTTAAAGCAACAGAAAGAGGAGCAATGTCATTGGTAAAGATTAGATCTAAAATGTGATTATCTCTTGTTGGAGAGCGCACCAGTTGGGACCAATTAGAAAAATTGACAATATCTTGAAAGGGCTGGAATCTGGGTGGGCAGCTATTGGAAACCCAGTCTATTTCAGGAAGGTTAAAATCCCCAGTGATTATTTTAACATCGAAGGCAGCATTCAAAATTAATTTAAAGATTCTACAGAGTTGTGAAGCATCACTGGCTAAAGAATTTGGGGGATTGTAGATGCAGCCAATAATTGCCTTTCTTTGCGGCGAGAGAATAACAGATGCAAAGCAAAAGTTTCCCGTGAATGAGGAAACAGCCAAGTAATACGGAGAGTGCTTTAGGTAGGATTTAAGATAAAGAAGACAACCACCCCCACGCTTAGTCGTGCGGTCTTGGCGGTAAAAATCGAAGTCATCTATGAGAAGGGCAGAGTCAGGAATTAGAGAATGGGTCCAAGATTCTGTTACACATATAATATCAGGCGTCATTTCCAGAGCAATGGCTCTGATTTGGGCCATCTTGTTTATAACTGACCTGGCATTCAATAATATAATATCTAATGTGTTTCGAACGGCAATGCTATTTTCGACGGTATTTAAAAAAATTTGGAGGCGGATATGTAAGCTGTGAATTGATGACACTTGGAGAATAAGTGCCAGTTAGTGTAGAGTTATTGACGTACGGGGAGTCAGCAAGAGAAGGCTGAATATGAGACCTAAAGGATGTGGGGATATAGTTTTCAAGCATTGGAATGCTAGGGGAGTTAGAACATGGATAGACTTGTTGGTAGTTAAGTAGTGGAGAACGGGGAGGAGGAGGGAGCCTAGAAGGAAAGTAGGGGCTAGTGGGTGAGGGTAGGCCGCTATAAAAATGAAAGAGTGGGAAACCAGATCTAGGTTGGAAGTCAAAGGAGGTAGGTTGACGTACCTGAGAGCGATTGGCCTTAAGTGATGGGAAGCCTGAACTGGGTTGGGGCATAAATGACTTAGAGCAATTCATGTATGAATTATTTGCTGGATATATAGTAGGGCTTTGATAAGTAACCGGTACGCAGGACAGAGAATTATTCGGAGATATAATTGCAGCTGCGTGGTATGAAGACGTGCTGGGCTGAACAGACTTGTTAGATCTAGGAGAAGGCGTCATACCCCTAAATGAAACTGTACTACCTATCTTTTGGGTCGGAGTCTGATTCAATTTTCGAGTCTCACCGCTCTGACGCCAAGCCACGGGTGACTTAACTGTAGACCTTACAGCACCCAGTTGGACAATAGAAGTTATCGGTCTAGCTGATGTAGACGGATTTTCATGTGTCTCAGCGGGACTATCCGGAGGATACGAAACGACAAATGAGGCTGCTGCTGCAGCTAGTTTAGGGGCAGGCAAATGCGTCAAGTGGCTTGAGTGAGATGGAGATGTAGGAGAAAGAGGAAGGAGGGAGTCAGATGTCGCAGGAGTAGGACAAGCTGAATCCTTACGGCCACTTGTATTATGACCGAGTTGTGGAGCATTAGACTGAGAAGCAGTGGGTTTACGTGAGAATAAAGACCCGATTCTGCGCTCCATAGGAGTAAGATCATGACAAATGAAAAATTTTGCCTTCTCTAGGTACGCAGTGACACGCTCTCGATGGGTAAAGATTGTGTCAACCTCGATTGATGAAAACAATTTGACTAAGATGGGTGGATTTTGCTACGGGAGGACAAGCGTTTGGCATCGGCTATTTTGTAGTTGAAACCACATGAATACAGGAAATTGGTCGCAACATCAATTGGTCGAGCAGATCGAGGAACATTTTTTAGCAGGAAGTTGTAAGAACGCTTCTGTCTATCACTAGATTCACTGGCGATCAGGTGAACAAGTGAGTCGAGACGCCTACATTCTTCAGAGGGAATATCGGAGATGTTCCCGTCGAATAAATGTCCAAGAATTGTCAGCAAAGGGCCAGACTTTATCATAAAGTCATTGCAGTGGTCAAGTTCAGACAGATTAATCTGCCGACCAGTTCAGTTCAGTTCAGTTTATTGAGGGAAATAGGCGTAAGCCTTTGAGTACCCTATTTGCAACGTAAAAAATGTGTGGTGTACAGATAGATGTTCTGGGCTGAAATAGTTCGAACACGCCCATAATGGTGGGACAAAATGAGAAGGAGTTACAGGGGGTGAGCTCGACTTCTCATCGCTCTTGGTCATTTCGGAACATAAATATGTCCAGATTCTTCTTAAAAATTTGTATAGACGGCGACATCACAACATCTGCGGGAAGCTCATTCCATGGTTTGACCACCCGAACCGCGAAGGAGAACTTCCGCACATCCAGCCGTGCCTGCTGAGTGCGCAGTTTTGACGGGTGACCTCGGAGGTTGGTCGTGGTAGCAAATTCAAAAAAGTCCTCGAAGGCCAGACTGAAATCCAACCCCTTTACAATGCGGAAGGCTTGCAAGAGATCTCCGCGAAGTTGCCTGTAACTCAAAGGAAAGAGGTTCAGATTTACTAGGTGGGTTGCATAAGGAAAGGAGCTTTGACCCCTAACCATCTTCGTGGCTCTCCTCTGGACTCTTTCGAGGCAGTTTGATCCACAACAGCCCACGGCCTCCAAGCTTGTATGCCGTACTCTAAATGCGGCCGGACGAATGTTCCGAATGTCTTAGAGAAAGCTTCTTCGTCAAAGTCCATAAACGCACGCTTGATGGCGTACAGTACGGACATTGCGGTTTTTGCCACCCTCGAACAGTGGGCGGATGGTTTTAGGGAACTCGTCGTCAGCGCACCGAGGTCCTTTTGGGCTTCGACCTCTTGTAGGGCTGCACCGCCCAGAAAGTAGCCTCTTGTGCTGGCGGATCTGGCTGTGTTGCCTAGGCGAAGTATGCTACATTTGGCAACGTTGAACCGCAGGAGCCAACGGTTTGACCACTCCTCCAACCGATTCAGGTTCATCTGCAGTCTGTCTTCATCGGCAGGACCCCGAATTACACTCCATATCTTCATGTCATCCGCAAACATTGCTACTTCACGGTCTAAATCTCTTGCGGCATCGTCCACGTAGATAAGGAACAAAATGGGTCCCAGTACTGAACCCTGGGGGACACCACTATCGACCATAGCCGGATGTGATTTTCCCCGACCGAGGCACACAACCTGCTGTCGACCCACAAGGAAGTTTTCGATCCATTTAAGGAAGTTGTCACCGATCCCTATTTTTTTCAGCTTATATAAGAGCCTTTGGTGTGGCACAGTGTCGAAAGCCTTCTGGAAGTCGATGAAGGCTATGTGGACCGCGTGCCTGTCGTCGAGAGCTCGGGTCCAGCTCTGGAGAGATTGCAGCAGGTTTGTCGTGCGGGATCTTCCTTTTCGGAACCCATGTTGGCATTTCGATAGCAGGCCGTGAACTTCCAGGAAATGCATCAGTTCAGTCTTTATGATCCTTTCCATAACTTTGCAGAGAATGCATGTCAAGCTTATGGGCCGGTAATTTGTCGTCGCTGCCCTGTTACCTCCTACGTGTAGCGGAGTAATATGCGCCAGCTTCCAATCGATAGGAAGTGTTCCAGTGTCAAATGACGTTTGAAAGAGCATCGACAAAGGCACAGAGAGCTCACTGGCAAGTTCCTTCAGAAGCTTGGATGGAATCTCGTCTGATCCTGGCGACCTCGATTCGTTCAATGCCTCTAATTCTCTTCGGACAATGCCTTCTGAGAAGAGTATATCACTGACGCTTGGAGTCGGCAGTTCTTCTGCGGAGGGAGGAAGGAACCTTGCCTCGTTTGTGTAGACTGATTGGAAAAACCGTGAAAAATACGCAGCTTTATCCCTACTATCAGCGATCTCAACGCCATCACTAGTCTTTATCAAGGGGCTTTGATGCCTGTTCCTTGTAGTTCGTCGGAGGTAGCTGTAGAGCAATTTTGGGTTCTGCGTTGCTTTTTGTAGCAAGTTCTTCTCGAATTCCCGCCGCGTCTGCATTATCAGCTTCCTCAGTTTGTTCCTCTGTGTCTTGTAGGTGTTGATGCATTCAGCTTGTCTAGTGACGCAGTATTTTCTCCACAATTTGTGCTTCCTGTTGATTTCTTTCTTGAGGTTGCTATTAAGCCACCCATGGCGTTTGTTCAGTCTTACACTAGTCAGTGGGCAGTGGTTGTTGATGAGCTGCAGAAGGACATTCTTGAACAGCTCCCAGTCATCGTTGGCACTTCCCGTAAACGAAGAGCCCCAGTCAAGACCGGATAAGTCTGCCCTCATCTGATTGAAGTCGCCCCGCCAAACATTACGCCTTTTGTGGTCTGGAGTATGTGAAATGGAGAATAACGAATAATCCCACATAAGCACTACATAGTCACTTCGGCCAAGGGGCGGCATGGAGGCGATCTCGTCTATGCTGTCTGGTGTTTTCGTAAAGACCAGATCCAGGCAGTTTGCCCTTTGTCCTTCACGTGTTCTCGTTGGGAACATGACATGTTGTGTGAGGCACGCATTTAATGTCTTGCTCAACAGGCGGTAATCGAATGCCGATTTTGGACCTGACGCTTGGAGGTTATTCCAGTTTGTTCCTGGTGCGTTGAAGTCGCCCATGATCATGGTGTTAGGTCGACTGGAAAATTTCTCCAACTGCTCCAATAGTTGAGTGTCGGCGATTCGGTCTGTCCTAGGTGGTCGGTAGACAGTGAGGACATCGAGACACGGGGAACCGGTAGCCTTGATGGCCAACCAGATAGCTTCCGTACTGCACACAAACTTGGTGGTGTTATCCGACACTGCCAGACCGTCATTCACATACACAACGATACCACCACCCTGACGATGTTCCCTGTCCCTCCGATAAATTTGGTATCCAGGCAAGGCTACTTCGTTATCGCTAATATTCCCGCACAGCCAGGTCTCAGTTACTGCTAAAACATCTGGAAACAGCTCATCAAGGCAAAGTATTAGTTCGTCTAGTTTCGATATGAGGCTTTGGGCATTCGTGTACAAACACCTCAGTTTAGCACCAGCCGAATTTCCCGTTGCATTTGTTACTGCTGTGAGCATTACTCCGTTATCGCGGACGTCGTGTTCTCTAGGCTCTTCCGTTACCTGATTGGTTCCATTTACATGCCTTGTTTCAGTCAGATCACTGGACGCTACGGGCTCACTTGTGTTGGCGCCTTGATCAGGTGGTTCAACGAAGGTGTCTGTTTTAGCTGAATAGCTGTCGTCGTTCGTAGTATTACAGGCTGGTTCCACTGAAACGGCATATATTTCCGAACTACCTTCCCCTTGAAGATAGCCAGATTGTGTTCGCCACCCTTCAGTCTTGATTTTAACTCCAAGACAAGTTCCCGGCGTTTCAACCGTTCCGCTGGTGAATAGTCCGGTTGAAAAAAAAACCTGTTTGTGTGTGTTTCTGAGATCGGTTTTTTTAGAGAGGATAAACTTGATTTGCTCTTTGTTCTCCAGCATAATTTTGAGAGGGCGAGGTGGTTGTGCTACTGTCCTGTCTTCACTCCTTTTTCCTATCCGGAATGCTTTCAGAACCTTTATTTCCATGTCTGCCGACAGTAAATGATTTAGCAGACCACGAAAAGAAGCAAGGTCCTCTGAGACACGGTCTTCAGGTCTGACTGCATTCGATTCTGACAAACCCTGAATAACCAGACACTGCTGGCGAGCATGGTCCTCCTTACTCTGTCTTTCCGGTGAATGCGCTGCATGTGGGCGAGGACGATTTACGGAGTCATCGCTTGGACGCACACTTTTACTGTCTACCGACTGTCCCGAGCAACCCATCAGGGCTGGCTGGGACTTCAGAATCCTGTCATGGCGTCTCCCTCTCCCCTCTACCCATGGGTTTATGTCTTCACATTCAGATACGTGCTCTGTAGTGCGCTCGGGGTGGTTGCCAGAACAAGAGGGCAACAGTAGACTGGATGACCCAGGTATATCGTCTCCAGGCAGAACAGAAATCCCATCACATACAGCAAGAGGCTTAGGTGAGATGGCTTCCGCGACAGGTAATTTTTTTGCGACATCGCTTAAGACATCGTGCGTGGGAATCGAGTCTCCAATTACAACGGGTGACGACTGACTAGTTATATCATCTGACTTAGATTTAGGTAAAGCTTCTGACTTACGTATAGTTAGGCCATGCTTATTTACAGAGGCCGAGAGCTTATGTCGACCAGTAACTATTGGTCTCATCTTGTCCCGAGGCAAGTTGTGATTAAGAAAACTTCTGGCAGACAAGTTGACTGAATTTCAGCTAGGGGCTAACGATGTAAAAATAAATTACAACAGTTAGAGAGAAATCGGATGCACAAAATGGGAATTGCAGAGTGCGATTAGTGAACAACGGGCATAGACTAGCGGAACTCAAAAGGAGATGGCAGCAGGCAGTTCTGAGAGAAGAGGCCTGTATTTAAGGAAATTCAACCAAAAACAGGGGTTAAAATCGTTAGGTCTCACAGAAAAACCACTTAAAATAATATCCTCCACGTAACTTCAAATTTAAAACCAGCGGTTCGACCTTGACCTTGAGTATGCTATACAGAGGAGGAAAATCCCTTAACTGTATTATAAAAGAGTTTGGGATATTGTTCGTACCTACTAAGTGAGAGTTAGGAAGATGGCTTATCAGTTTTTGAATACATTCAGGAGAAAAATTAATGATGCTAAGAGAAGCATCAGACAACGGAGGAATTAACGGGATTGGGTCAGTTTCAATGGTGAAATGCTTGGCAAAGAAAGGATTTAACATTACTCTTTGCCTGACTCCTCTGTAATGAAGGCATCGCTAGTACTAAGCAAAGGCGGAATGACTTGGTGGGACTTAGCAGATGATCTTTGACGGAAAATATGAGCAACTGATTTAGAAGCATTCATGTCATTAATAGCTAAAGACTCTCTACGCCTGTCTCGCGCAAGCCTCACTTTCGAAGATAATTCAAATATTTCAACGATTCTTAGATGAACTGATAATGAGCTCACAGAAGGATCTTTTAATTGCTTCCGTAAATTTTTAAGTCTGTTTTTAAGAAAGTGTGGGGCAGCGGTGGAATTAACACTCGATTTGAACATCTTCCGAGGAATAAGGTCAAGAAGACCTTCTGCTACGCATTGTAATAAATTGTTGAAAAAATTTAGATCATTATATGAAAAAAGTATTGTGCCAATCAAGAGTGTATGTAACGTTATTTACTAATTCCTTGTTAACATAAGCAAAGTCAAAAATACTACGTTGTACTGTTGGCTTTGCGGAAATGGCAACTGAAAGGCGACGATGAATTAATGCATGATCACTTGCAAAAAGGTCATGATAGAAATCCATAGACAAAGGGAAAGTGCCATTAGTAAAAATTAAATCTAAAACACTATCGTTTCTGGTCGAAGAGTAGACTAATTAACACAAGTTTGAAAAGGGAATGGGGTGTGGGTTTGAGTAAAAATGCGAGTCGCGGTACAAATTGATCATGAAGATAAACCAGCTACTTAGATTCAGTCAGTAGCTATATCAGGGGAAATTGTCGTTGTCGTCTCTCGTGAACTCACAGTACAGCAGTATCCTTATTGCTCTATTCAGCCCCTTTATCCGCAAATATTGTACTCTTAGACCTATGCCTGGAACTGAAGCGAGCCTCAATGTAATCCCCAATCTCTCGATCATTTGGTCAAGTCACAATTCAAAAATTAGAGGCTATGACCCAAATATTATTATGACACTAGTTGAGGATACTCTGTGTAGATGACATGTTTGTAAGTAATAAACGGGTCTATTGCGCAGTAGAATTTGAAGAAACAGTTTAGCCTAAAGTATGCAGCGTGACGATAAATTGACATTGAATGTTGTGGAAGATTCCTGGCGCGTTAAAGAAAACGCAGGGGTAATGCCAAAATGCATCGACTGTTAATGCTATAGCACGCTACTAACTCACTATCGTCAGGTGTCACATTCACAATCGGTAAATTATATGATATGTCTGACTTATTTAGTCCCATAAGCAAGGCGTCTGTCAGCAGTCAGAGTGCTTTTGTGCCGATTTCCAATGAAATTTGGGTTAGGTTTGTTTGTAAGATTAGACCTGGGGTCAGGTCAAGTAAGAGGTTGAAAGTTATGCTTAAAGTTAGCGGTAAATTAAGTCGGAATGCTGTTTATGAATAAGGCAAAGACCAGTGTTCCTGCACAGCTAAGTTTTAGACTGGGTTTGTGAACAAGATTTTGACAGCGATTTACTTCTTCACTAGAGTTTTTGTGGGGCTAAGACGGGGCAATATTTTGCCGGAAGAGGGGGGGGGGTGGAGGCAGCTGTAAACGGTACCAGCTGGCAATCGCCTGTCCGATCAATCACATCCAGTACGTCGTATTGATCGATTGCGACCCAGTTATCCCGCTCTTTATCGGTCACCACCGTGCACTTGTTTACGATTGTTGTGGCTCTATACTAAGTGGTGTTTTTACCACAAGGTTACTGTCTTACTAGGAGGACACTAGACACTAGTCCTACCATAAATGCCATTCAGCAGACACCAAATGCCTAACCAAGGTGTGGAGCGCAACAGATTTTTCCAGCGGTGCGAATGGCACTCTTACTAACTTTTTTCTCCGTAAGTGTAAAAGCCTGTTCCAGTAACTTGGGTAGCTACTAACTGAATCTTAGTAGCTGGTTTATCTTCATGATCAATTTGTACCGCGACTCGCATTTTTACTCAAACCCATGGGGTGTAGAAGGTTCTGGAATTTCGGAGGAGAAGTATGTGTGTGCCAGTCATTTTCTGACAAATTAAAATCGCCAACGATGATCTTGACATCGAAAGAATTCTCCGCAACTTTTTCAGAGTTCACAGAGTTGGCTGTCATTTCCGGAGTAACAAGGAGAATTATATACACATCCGACCAAAGCCTTCCTATTTTGCGGAAGGATTACCGAAGCGAAACATAAATTTCCGGATAAGGAGGAAATGTTCAGGGCACAAGGCGACTGTGCAATTGAGGCTCTGATGTAAAGAAGGCAATTACCGCCGCGCCATTCGACACGATCCTGGCAGTATAAACTGAGGCTAACTATATTGAGTGTCGATTCTAAAATTAGAGAGTTACCCAAGATCCTGTAATGCACAATACTTCTGTGTCAAACTCAACAGCTACACTTCTTAGTTGTGCCATCTTTTGCACGACTGATTTTGCGTTGAGAGAGACAAAACTGAGCGTATTCCTAATATTTAGATTCCGCTCATTGTATCTTATAAAAAACGGAGAGCTGGGGGTGGAAAATTAAGCTGTTGGGATGAAGCAATCGGTGGAAGGCAAAGTTGCTGTGGTCTAAGATTTGAGGGGCAATTACAACTAACTAGAGATGCAGCATTGCATGGAAAAAGTTTGAGCAGCACCCAGGAAGAGGAGTGATATTTTGTTGGGTTGGAAAAATAAGAGGCATGAAAATAGGATTTTGGGAATTTTTAGCACATTATGAGGGGCAGTTTATGTTATGTGACAGGTGTAATGGTTTCGGGATACAGTTAACGTCAGGAAAGGGGTTTATTATTTGGGGTCTTAGACTAGAAATAGGATTGGAAAGGTTAGCAGCAATGCTATATACTTGCATTTTAAAGTCTGGTGTGTAAGAGGGCTTCACAACTGGGGCGTTAAGTTGAGAATTCAGGATAGGAACAGGTAAACATCTCCCTGAACCATCATCCACCTTATTGGACCTAACCACGAGGTCAGATCCGAGTGGCCAGGCGTGGGAACGGTGTGGATTCGATGTAAGTTTACTAAATAAATCACTATTCTGTGTGTTGGGAGTCGGTTGTGCTTCAAGGACTGGCTCATCTTTGCTGTTAAGATCAAGCTCCCTAGTAAATTTGGGAGCCGCATTTGAACAATCCTTGCATCGTGGGGGAGTTTTAAAGAGCCTAGTTTTTACTGTCTCTGTGATAATGTGATCAGTCGAAGAGCTAGATGGAACTGGGACCGCTGTATATAGTGGGGAGATTTGGTCGACACCAGATAGGGAAACTGCTTTAGAGGTAAAAGGCATATGAGTAGAATTCGGGGA